TCGAAGTCCGTTCGCGTTTCTCCAGTTCTCAAGCACATTCTTCCTTTCTCACTCATTCTCTCATCATTTCCCTTTTGCCCAACGTATATAAAATATGTATCTACTATTTTGATTTCGCCTTATAAATCCGCTATCGTAGTCGCGAATTGCTAAATCGTAAACAGATGGTTTGCTGCTCGCGAAAAATCACCCATATTCTGCAAAACCATAGAAAACTGCTAACCGCACCGATCAAAATTCTTCTTCGATCCGATTTCGATGGCTTTTCTTCTCGAATTATTTCAAAACGAATCTTTGAAATCTATTGACGAACACCTTCGAAGGAAAATAATTTATTATACACGGGAAAAGGGGCGATTGTCAAGTTTTCAGTACTTTCTAGAGAACGGAAATTTATATTTTTCAATGCGTGGCGAACAACTTCATGTTTTCTCGTATACCAAGATAAACGTAAAACTCGGAAAATTTTAATTCGCAGTGCAACATGACCAATGACAACAAGTGTTGAATTCAAAATTTGTCCAAACTAATATTTCCCTTTTTCCCGCGGATTCTTTAATTGTATAATAATCAATGTGTGGACAAAAAGTCTGTAGAGTACTGATAGTCAGACTACAGATTCTTGTAATTTTGAGAATATAATAAAGAAAATAATGCCTCGTTAAAAAAGCACTCCAACTTGGATGTTTCGTGTATGTTATGCGTAATTTTAAAATTTATAAATGTAAAATCCGCATGTGTCTATTGGTATAGTTCATTTTGTCGGTTTTAGTTCCGTGTTATTCGAGCTTGAAAGCCACGCGGCCAGTCAATTATTAAATTTTGTAGAACTAAATAATAAAAATCGTGAAAATAATCATAAAATTTTCAGCGTTTCATAAAAACTCGGGCAAAATAGATTACAGATTATAAATGTAATGAATGTGGTAGGTGCATCCCTTGAATTGTATTTTGTATATTTGCAAAAATTTAGAACTGTCCAAATTCTTACGCACGACAGCGATGATTATTTGTAAATGACTGAAAAATTCGAAAAACGAAAACATTCATTAATGTTTTTAGAATAGAAAGAAGACACGTTGATAGTGTCGATATAGATACATGAAAATTCAATAAAATTCCTACAAACTTTTTGATCACACCTTGCATAATCCTTTATATGCACAAGATATTTATATAATTCCTGTAATTACTACTAGAAAGAGGATGATTCGGTATAAAAAAAAAAATAATTCGAAAAAATCGCCAAATTACCTGTTCGTGTTCACCGATGCGCGCAAAGCGCTCGAAATTTTCGAGGCAGACGTAAAATTTAACAGATTCGAGACGGGCTGCAATCTCGAAGCTTGAAGAAATAAGTTTTTCTGTTCTTCACGTTCTTGATATCGGTGTATTATTACGCTATCAATTGTATAAGCATCAATTACTAATTCCAGAACATGTTTAATAATAGAGGAAAGTTTAAACCAAGGAATTTACGAATTCCTATCTGTCTCAAACGTGTTGAAGACTATTTTCCGCTTGATTGTGTAGCTTAAAATCTAAAATGATTCCGTTTCGAAATGACACACGCAAACAAGACCGGAATTAAAAACCAAAGTAGAAGTCTGTCATTATGTATCGAAGTAACGCACAGCCGAAGGTAGTACGCAACATCTACAGCGGTTTAGATTGTCGAGGATATTGCGAAACTTTAATTGCAATCGTATAACGCAACCTAGCCATATATACGCAAGTAAAATGACACTATTCGTATTTGTAAGAAAATAATAGCGGATTTGTTATGATTATTAACGATTTAATTTCGAAGTAATTAACATTGTAGGTAATTGTCATTGAGCATCGAGAACCGTAACAATTTAACAATTAAATTACTTAATTTTGGAATATTGGAACGTGACTACCTCTGTCTATGGAAAATCGAAAGTGAAATTAAATGTCCAAAATTTTCAGTAATTTAATGCAAATTATTACACGTAACTTGTATAATCCAGCTATCTGTGAGTAATCCAGCTATCAGATAGTTTGTTTGAAAATTCTTCCGAAACGTAACTATCTCTGGTAAAAAAATTTTCGATCGAACGCAAGTTACTCAAAAATACTTAAAAACATTGAAATCATTCAGGCATAAAATATATTTGTTATACTTGTTTGACATGTACAGAAAACTAGAATTAGCGGTTTCAATTGGATTGTTTTGTCTTCAAAGATTTCAATGATTTTTAAGTACGTTTAGATACTTGTGCTTGATCGAAAACTTTCTGCCAAGAATAGTACAATCAGTATAATTTTTGTTTCCAAGCTTTAGTTATTTGATAAAGATGTTAATACAGATCACGCAACATTTTTTCGCTCCAGCAGGGTAAATTCAATCCATGAAAATTCAAAAGGTTTGAAAATTTGAAGTTGACAGAAGAAAATAGCAATCTTATGGCTCCTTAATGACTGATTCATCGAAGTAATTAATGATAATTTATTTAAAAATTCATTGAAATAAAATGTAGTTTATAACGTAACGTAGTATATCTTTTTTCTTTTAAAGCGTCAATGGTGATAACAATCTAATAAAAGTTTCGAAGTTTTGAGGTCGACAGAAGCAATTAACTGGATGAAATTATCTTTTCCTTCAGCCTGCTTTCGTTTCCGTAGATTCCAATAAATAATAAATAAAACCGAAAAATAATGATCTCTTACAATTGCTAACGTGCCAGTATTAAACAGCGTTTCTTGTTCTTTTTTCCTTACGTATTTAAATAGATGCTTCTCGACAAATGCTTCTGGGTACTTGTGGATTCATTCAACGATAGAACTTGAAGTATACTGTGAAATTCTAATGACAAAGAAGATGATGTCACGCGAAATTTAATTAACAATACGTCTTTTTAATAAAACCTTCTCACTCAGTTCACGCAATCTTGTTCACGATGATTCGCAAACGGTTTGACATCATTTTCTCTAGCATTGACGGTGCAAAAAGATGTATCAAATTCTAACGTTAAAAAATACGATCCGAGTACAAAAGAACAGAATTAAAAAATTGAAAAATTCTTTCCAAAAAGCTAAGCAGTGCTGGGGAAATAATGCTCAAACGAGGAAGCAGCAACAATGAATTTCAACAATGTAACAGAATTACTTGCTTCGATAGCAACATAAGTCGCTTTAAATCATCGAGATAATGATAACAAGAATCGACAAAAAATTAACAAAATATGTATAGATGTGTCTAAAAAAATTTCTTCTTTTTTTTAAGTTTATCACACTGTACGTACCGTATATTTTTCATTACTACATTTTAGAAGATAAATTCCAATTTCGAGATGTTTTAAATTAAC